GGGGGGGGGCAAAACATACAGGAAACAAGAAATGGAAGATTATTTGCTGACAATAACATGTGTGTTGATGTGCTTGATTGAGACAATATACAGTATACTCTGGATGGAAAATCTCATTTTGTATGCTGTAATGATGTACAGTGAAGGAATGCAAATAAATAAATGGGAAAAAGAAAAAAAAAAAGAGAGTCCAAGTAAGTTCAAGTTATTTAATCATGTAATTGTTTAAAAAGTTACCAGATTGTGTTTCTGCCAAGGTTTTTATACAGCAGATATGAACAGTGCCTGCCAGCCTCGGTACCCACGTTATCATCACTCGGCCGCTCTTATTCCAGAGCACTGGCTACTTCAGATAAAGGTACAAGAACTAGCCAATGACAAATGTGCTTCTCCATATTGTTTGTCTTTGTCTCACTCCCAGGCATCCAACGCAGGAGGGTGGGCAGAGAGCTGATGGGCAGAGCAGGGCGGTGGGCAGGTGGACAGTAGGCAGTGCACTCACCAGAGAGACAGAGAGAAACAGAGAAACAGAAAGTGAGGAACCACCCCTAGGGGCATGGCCACAGCAGTCCCTTCTTTATTCTCCTCTTGAGATTTTGGACACACACGTACATATACCTGGAATGAGTTTTAAGCCACCAAGTACGGGACTCGAACCATGATCAACTATGTGGGAGTCTACACACACACACATCACCATTATGCCATCTGCTGGGGCAGCAAAAATGGCAATTAAAGACCTGAACTTCCCATGGCCAACTGTGGTTCGAATCCCAGACCTGGTGGCTTGCTTTCTTACTTTCCCTTTCTCTCCTGTCTCTCTCTGGTTACATTTTAAAAGTAATAATAATAAATAAAATTAACTAAGTATTTTTTTAAAAAGAGAGAGAGAGTATTTTTGCCATAGGGCGTGTGCGCTTGTTGAAGAGAGTCAGAGAAAGACAGAAAGAGAGAAATCACCCCCGGGGGGACCATGCCACAATTCCTTCTCTTCCAGTCTCCTCTCGGGATTTTAGACAGGCTCACACACATGGCCAGCGTGTTTCAAGCCGCTGGGTCTGGGACTCAAACCGTGGTCGGTCATGTGGAAGTCCAGTTCCCAGACCACCTCGCCACGTCTGGTACTGAAGTGACAGTACTGGAAGATAAGTGTTGTTGAAATAGTGTACTGACAGTCTGACAGTGACCGGCCCGTGACGGGGGAAGCAGGTCTCCCAGACGAGCTGGTGAGCAGAGCAGAGGGCGGCACGGGTACACGCGGACTCCACACTTCGTTCCCATGTCCTCGCTCGTGAGAGCAAGCTGACGCATCAAAGCACAAGAGCGGTGTTCGCTGTGAGTTATAGGACACAGGGACTAAAAATCGATTAAAATGGGCATAAAGCATGCAAAGGGGCGAGCAGTTAAACACGCGTGACGGTCTTACATGTTCTGTACAAACGGAGTTTTAGCCAGAATGTAATGCACTCTGGAGATGCCACTAGTAAAGCAGTTCCAGCTTAAAGTCTTTAACGGAAGGTGGAAACTAAAGATTAAACTGCGGTTTAATGTATCAGGAAATTGGAAATGCCGGCATGGACGACAAGAATGCAGAGGCGCAGAGAGGTGTCAGCACCTGGGACAAATCCAAGTCCTCATTTCTGTTCTTCGACGAGAAAACCCAATTGACACATCAATTGTGAGAACTTTTACTGCAGAAATGTGGTGGTTTTTTTTTTTTTTTGGAGAGGTTTTTGCTACAGGGTGCATGCACTCACCAGAGAGACAGAGAGAGACAGAGAGACAGAAAGCGAGAAATCACCCCCCAGAGGGGATGGCCACGCCGCAATCCCTCCTTCTCCATTCTCCTCTCGGGATCTTGGGCACACACATGTACGCACGCCCGGCGTGAGTTTAAGCTATCAGGTCCGGGACTCGAACCGCGGTCGACTACATGGGAGTTCAGTGACATAGCCATTACGCTAACTGCTGGTCCCTAAATATATATATATATTTGAGACAGTTTTTTCTACCAGGCACATATGCTCTCCAGAGAGACAGACCAGAGAGTCAGAAAGCAAGAAATCATTCCCTGGGGGCATGATCACACTGCAATCCCTTCTCCTCCATTCCCTCGGGATCTTGGGCACACACACATGCGCTCAGCGTGAGTTGTAAGCCAGGGGGTCCGGGTCAGCTATGAACCATGGTCACTCTGTAGGAGTCAGCGACATTACCGTTATGGCA